ATCGTCTTTAACTCTGCTTTTCCCAGCACTTTTTGAACTCTTGTCATAGGTGACACTCTATACTGTGTTTTATTGCTCTTTAAAAAAAAAAATCCTCTTTTGGGCAAGAAAACATATAAATTATCTTTGGATTCTGGATAGAATTCAGCAACGTTATGCTCAGAACGTAGTAGTATACGATATTTTCACAAACTGATCCCCCTCAAGAAAAAAATTCTGGAGAGTAAAATATATAAACAAATCAAAAATTAATCAGCAGAGTTATAGATTTTTAAAAAGATTTCTTACATTTTTTTTCCCTGAAAGTAATTTCCAGTGAAAATGAAGACATTTTTCTGCTCATCTGGAATCAGTTTTTACCTCATTAGCAGGAAATGGTGACTATACACTCAGCACAAGTAGAGTTCGCGTTATGAGACAAAGAATTTGCACACCAGACATAGATGTGTACAATAGAAGAACCTTTCTGCTGTCCTTAAATAGCATGGTGAATGAAATTATAGCAGTAGATAACCATCATTCAGGTACCTTTCAATGGTGTGATTGTTTTTCATAAATCCAAAGAAAAGAGACTTTTTAAACTGTTGGGAAACGTTTTAGTGTAGCTTCTAATATTTTGGTAAAATGAGATGTTTACTAGCTGGACCTTGGTGATGACAGCATGAGGAACTGGGGTGGAGCTTTTCTCTCCATTTTCTTTTGATCCTAAAGTTACATAACTGTGCATTCTGCCCAACTTATGTTTCTGCAGTGGGAAGATGTGTAGGTGGAAAGACATTCTAAAGGGAGGCTGGAGCTACCTTCCCTAACAAGGAAAAATTCAAGTGAACAAATAAATAAAAATAGACTGAAAGAATCACAGAATGTGATAGCTGTACGGGACTTTGGGTTTCACTTAACCACATTTTAGCTTCAGGGGCCTGGATAAAATGTATATGCTGTGATTGTGAAGGAGATTTTCCCATTTTTAAAAGTTAAATTTATTAATGTGTCCTCATGTTTACCCATGATATATTTGTGGCTATTTTTGTTTTGTTTTGTTTTACGTTGCTGGTAGAAACATTCTGTATTATAGCTTCTTTTTATTCTTCTGGATGCTTGTGTATGCCTGTTAGTCTACTCCTATGCCCACATGTGCAAACATACAAGAGAAAATGGCAATCCAGCATTATAAAACCGAGAAAGAGTTATGGTGCAGTAAGACTGAATTAATTGTGCTTTTGGCAGTCAAATATGCCATAAAGGTCATATTTTAAAGTTTTAGACTAACTCGCATGTATCCCAGCGTTTGTACAGGGTTGCCGAGTGTCTCATTAGACATACAATCTGCCTGCTATTCTGTCCTGACATATAAAATGGACGTCTTTGAACTGGCGTCTAGAAAGTCTTGGTAGCGCTACAGATTTTATCGCTCATTCCAAACATAGGAATTGCAAAATACCTTTCTTTAAATATTTTCTCTTCATGGTGCAATGAGGAGGGCCAAATTCCAGCCTTAAAAGTTTGAACCTGACTGGTTGGTAGAAATGGCAGAGTCATAGAACTTTCAGTCAAGAAACCAATGCCTGCACTGTGTCTGAGATTAGACTGTGCATTTGTGACTGTTCCAGATGGACTCCTCTTCTCTACTTAGCACACACAGCCTTGTAGCCAGGAGGAAGTGGAGAATTCCACCTTCGGTTTCTTTACTAGAGATATTCCTCATGGGACTCTTAGACCCTAATCAGAATTCTTCTGTTGATGATAATCTAATTAAATTATACTGTATCATCAGAATCCCTTTATGGAATTATCTTTGCATTTTGCACAGTTCTTCCATCCTGCTTCTAGATGTGTGTGTGTGTTTTCCTTTCCTTAAATCATTTTCCTAATGGAGAAGACATATAAATTTTCAGGACAGAATCCATAGTCATGGCAGGAAACCTACTCAGTGGGGTTGGTTTTGATACACAGTCTACCCTGTTGTCAACTGCTTTGTAGGCAGCTTCTTGTAACAATGCAGAGAACAAAAAAAGACCTCTGCTGTGATTTCTTTGATTTGCATTTTTTATATAGAAATGCAGGGCGTTTTTTTTTTTTTTTTTTTGGTTTGTTTTAATTTATTTGAAATGATTAAAGACATTTTTTCAGAGTACTCAAATATAGGTGAAAGAATTTTAAGTTTGCTCATTTTGGCATCGTTTTAAAACAAAAGCGTGACTGTTGGATCTGGGCAATGTGATGGGTGAATGAGTGTTTCACTGAAATGACATAAGTCTATGATTTGGAAGGTAACGATGCCTTAGAACAAGAATAAATCTGGAGCAATGGAAAGGCTCCATATTCTAGATGAATGAATGCTTCCTCTTATGACTCTGAAAAATAAAATAAAATCTTTATTTATATGAATTCATGGGGTGGGGGAAGCTACATGGACTTGGTTTACAGTATATCTCAGAACAGGAATATTAGCCCTAACCTCTTTCCTCACATTGCATATGATATTTAATCCATCATCTTTGTTTAAAAAAACAATACACAGGCTGTTGCTGGGATTGGTATAAAGCTGATGGTCCATCTGGAGAGCAGGAATATAGATCAGGAAAATAAGAGAATTGAAATTGGGTGCAAGGGCAGATTTACATGTGTAAAACATTTTTGTTTTACCAGCTTTTTATCAGATTATTTACTACTAGGCAAATAGATTCCTTTTTCTTTACTCTGTGTGCCCCATTGGAGGAAGAGTTGCTTCAGTATTGAAGAACAATTGGGTTTTGAAAGACAATAAAATAATAAGCCATTTCAATCATCTGTTTTTTGTGTAGGGGTGTCAGTGTGGAAGAGTAGAGAGAGTAATGCAGGAGGTTTAGAAGACCTGAGTCTTGTTCTAGCAGTCTGATCATGGGCCAGTCATTTAGTGTCTTGACCTTCAGTGTCCTTTGATCCAAGTCAATTAAGCAACCATTTGTTAAGGCTTCTGTGAGAAATTTCTGTGGGCCAACCATTATGGTAGGCTTTGTGGATCCGTAGATGAATAAGACTCGGTTCTAATCTCAAGAGGCTCAAGGTCTTGCAATGGAGACAGACACAAAATTAAACAATGTATTGAGTGTTGTATAGGTGATATGGGCTGACAAAGGCAGGAAGGCTTCATTCTGCCTAGAGTAGACAGGAAAGTTTGTATTATGAATCCTTCATAAGGATTTTATATCTTGACAGGTCAAGGAGCAGGCATTCCAGGTATCTGAACAGTGAGAGGTTCAGAACAAATTATCAACAAAGCTTTTTCTAGTTTCAAATTTCTCGTTTTATCAATGTAAAATTCTTTGAATATCTTCCCACTGTTGTTATTCATTGAAAAGTGTTTTTTGTCATGGTTCAAAGAAAATAATAATGAAAGAAACAATGGTTGCCTTTATTAATAAAGCTGAAGTTGGGGGGAAGGAGGCTGCCCAGCTTTTTTCCGTTTAAATTGTTGCCCGGATTGAAAAATCAGCCTGCATGTCGGGTGGTAGGCACTTTGTGTGGAAGCCTTCCTTCGTAGTTTCAAGCAGTGGTGGTGGATGGAACCACTGTAACCTGGCCTCCCTCCATAAGAGAAGGGAATCCAGGTGGCCATGTTCAAAGGTGTCTGTGTGCTGCAAGTCTTCTGAAATGACAGGAGAGCCCGGCAGCTTCCAAAGCAGCTGTGACGCTGGATTGCGCCCACATCTCGGCTTCTCAACGATAGAGGAGAGAATCTGTGCTGCCTTAGGAGGTGCGGAGCCTAGGACTCTTCTCCCTTTTTTAATTTTCCATTTTATTTTTAAAAATTTTAGTGGTAGGGTCTGATCTCTGCATGAGGTGTCTTTACAAAAAGAGAGATTCGCTCTTTTTAAACTATTCTAACTAAAGATCTTGTGTAGACTCATTGGTTAGAAATAAAACTAGAATACCTCCTTTTTTGTTGTTGTTTATGAACGACCAATAATTTATTCACATGTGTCATTCGAGCTGGCGTTTTTTTTTCTTTCCCCTCCTAAGATGACAGTTGCTTCCGCTGTTATATTCCAAAGCAAAGTCAGAAAAGCCCTTTCTTTTGTCCCGATTGGTAGTTATATTTTGCCCTCTTGCCTTTTTCATGTTGACCTTATGGTATTTCCTAACCCTCAGACTGTTTTGAAAGGCTTTGATTAAAATGTGCTGATAAAAGAATTTGATAACCAAGTTAGGAACAACGGGGCTATCTGGAGAAGACCAAATGATTTGGCAGCCTAACAAATTCTATTCAGAGCACACAAAGAGATCCTGGAACATTTTATAGGGACTCGTGTTTGGGGAATGGCATGAACTCAGGTTACCTGCAGAAGATGGTGTCATATGGAAACATTTAAGAGCTTATGGAAAATTCTTTGAAATAAAGTGGAATGAGCTAGCAACCATATACCTAAGAAGAAAAATAAGAGCATTCATTCTGATTTTAGGTGGCTGCTCATAGAAGGGAGATGTTAGTTTCTACTTCCTACACATAATGTAGAAGAGATACCACTGAAGAATAGTTTCGCTAATCAAACCCTAGACTTATAAGGACATTAGATGTCATCTTGTCTAACTGCCTTCCTCTGTAAACTTCCTGTGTGATATCCCCAGTAGCCTCTGCTTCAGCACTTCAAGAAAAAAGTGAGGGCATGAGGGGGAGTGGAGATGCAGGTTGGCAGGAACTCATCTTGAGTTTATCGCTTTATCTCCATCTCATTTGACTTACGAGTGTAGGTTTTATAACCTCCATTTTACAGATGAGGACACTAAGTTATATAAGCATAATGTAACTTGCCCCAGCTCATGTGTCTCGCTTGAGGCAAAACTGAAATCAGAACCTAGTTCCACTACACTAAACTGCCTTTCAGGTTCAAGTAGAGCCCACTTCCTCACAAGGCATCCCAGTCTATCTCAATAATGCAGATTGTTTAAAAATGCTCTCTTTTATTTAGCTGAAATCTGTCTCCCTTTAACATATCTCCTTGATCTCATTTCTACTTCAGGAGCATCACAGATTTGATGGAGTTCTTTCCACATGCAGGTATGTTTACAGCCACCGTTGGCAATATGGTTTCTGCCATCTTGTACTTAGTTGATTTTGTTGAAAAACAAAAACAACAAGATCCTCTTGTTGATAGCAATTCACCTTTCAACCTATGGAGTGCTTTTTGAATCCTAGAAGTCTAGAATCAAATATGAGTGTTAAAAGATCACCTAGTTTCATATCTCCTTGCCTGATTCATCAACTAATTGTTAGTATGTCATCCTTCCAGCTGTTCATAAGAATAATAAACAGGGTGAACAGGATTTAGGTTAACTTGTGGTCTGTGTATTAGTTTCTGAAAATACATTAAAAATTTAGCTTACCTATGATTTTTTTCTGGGAAGAGGGTTACAACTATTATCAAATTCTTAAAGGAACCCATTATCTAAACAAGTTAAAAAGTACGTAGTGTAGAGAACTTCCTCCAGATTGTATTAACTAACCTCTTTGGGAAGGGTCTCCCAAGCAACCATAAATTCATATAACTCAACCATCATCTGGACTATGCTAATTCAGTCTTGTTCAGAAGACATGGTAGATGGCCTCGTAAAATGGCTAACATTTAAGTCCTCAGTATTTTCTACATTCTCTTGATATGCTTAGATCTTGAGAAAGAATAGGTATGACCACCCTAAAAAACGGAAAAGAGACTGACATTAAGTAGGAAGTGGTCATTTTAAAAAAGTGTCCTTAAAAATTTGAAAAGGTTAAAAATATAAAGGTTAACAAGTTTGCATTTATTTTCCTTTGGTTTAAATCATAAGTCCAGTGATCATTCATTAAAACCTTACTCCTTCTAGTTTGTGGGAAACTTTGAAAACAGGTTGGATATTGATGCATATCCTTTATATGCCCAGCATGTATCTATTGTAAAACAGGTTTTTGGTTCCTCAGTAGACTGGGAGCTCCTCAAAAGAGTTTTGCAAGTCTTCTTTGATTCCCTAGCACCCAGCCCAGTGTTAGGTACGTACTAGGCTCTGATGCTTGTTGACTTGAACTGAATGCAGTGATTTCGGTGGAACTACATGATACTTAGTATTTCAGTAGTGGAGCTGTTGATCTTAGTCATGTTTATCTTATTTCATGTGCTTTTTATTCTGGCTGAATGGCGTAAAAATGCAATTGTCCTGAGTACCTAATAAATTATTGTCCTGAGTACCTAATAAAAGTAATGAGGAGGAATAACAATGGACATAATGAGATGTGGCCTACAGGGAAGGTAAAGAGCCCAGTCAAAAATGATAAGCTTTATTATGTGTGAAATAAAAGATATTCAACCTAAGTAATAATGTTGATTAAGAAAAGTCCCTCATATGTTATTGTTTTAAATGGACACTGGCCTGCTTGAATGGAAGTTGATGATTTTGCATACATAAAAAAAGATTTGTAGACTTTGAGATTTTAGGGAGGTAACTTCATACAATCCCCTGACTTTACTGATAAGGAAACCAAATTCTTGATAGTGAAGTGACTTTCCTAAGGTCACACACTTAAGTCACAATAGAACTCAGACCAGTAGTAACCTTCCCAACAAATGATGGTGCCTATCATGATTTTTTTTTTTTTTAAATCTTATAAATGTTAAAAGTATAAGATTAAGTAGAGGTCATTTCTGCATCACATAAGTAGCACAGTTGTCCTAGAATTAGTTTATTATATATATATTAGCCATTATTCTACAGAGTATTATAGCATAAATCCATGCAACTTGGTTTTAAAGGACCGTTTCTATGCAAGTGAAATACACCCACAGAAAGACAACAGTCATACTTTTAAATTTGCCAGTTCTTTGCTGTATTTCACATTAGGAGTATTTTCCAAGGGGAGTTTAAAGAGAATTAATGAATATGTTTAAAACATTGAGTATAACTAGGGATGTTGGGAGATGTTCCTACCCATAGAGGACAGCCATATCTTCCTATAAATTATCCTTTGGAATGCCCCATTAGAGTAAGAATTCTGGTTTGATAGACAAGAAAATTGACCCAAGGTAATGGTTCTTACATTGTTACAAGGACTCTTGCATGGCTGTTTTTCTCTATAAATAGCCAAATCCAATGCCATTGGTTGTTTGAAGCATGAATCTTATTAGCCTAGACTCTAAGCTTTTCTTATACTACCCGAATACCTACAATAATTACTTCTGCTTTGTATTAAAACAATTTCGGTTGTTGAGGTACGAAGAAGAGGAAAGACCAACCCATTTCCAGCTTGCTTGGCCTTACATTGATGTTATCTTTCAGACTGTTGGTAAAATAAAGATTCATGTTTTTTATGACATAAGAGATGCCATATGTGTGATGAAGACAGATGTTATCTCACTCATTTAGAGTAATGGACAAAAAGAAATACCCATTGCCCTGTAACTTTAATATCTTCTGTAACCTTTTTAAACAAAATGGGTAAGTTACTACTTGTACCCAAGGGAAGAGAAAGTTAATGAATAGAAAAGACAGAATTTACTTAGAAAAAGTGGAATTAAGCTCTGGACAAAACATGCATCAGTGATGCGTAACATTTTTGTTAATTGGGTCTTAACAGGTTTCTGACTCATGTGGTAATCATTGTAGAAGTGGGTCATACTAGACCACACCAGCAGACTATCCTGCAGCTATAAGAGCTCTTACCTAGTTGTGCATGTACACCTGAATTTCTGGGGCCATACGTTTCTATAGCTTAATTTAGGTTCTACATACACTTCAGTGGTTAAACCTGAGCTAGACTCAAAGAGTTTGTTTCCATTAAGAAAATGAATCTTTTATGTGGACCAAGGTCAGGTTAGTTAATTTGTTTGCTTTTATTGGAATAACTTTTCCCATTCCAATTCATCACTTAATTTTAAGTGGTTCTGCTACAATACCCATTAAAGTCCCTTACATTTCTCACAGTCTAGGGCTGTGATAGGTTCATGTGACTTCTTTTTTTTTTTCTCCCCCAGGCACAAAAGGTAGCTTTTCCAGTCATCTACCTATCCTTTCTTGTCCCTAGTTTTCCAATAATGGGGGAGCATTTTATATAATACCCGTATGAGCTCTAATTGCAGAGACCAAATGAAGTTTTCCCAAGCAACAAAATTAATTAAAATATAAAAATGTACCCAATTGTGGTAAAGCATTTCTTTTTTCAAAAAAATGACTTTTTTTCCCCTAAATCCTCCTTTTTCTGCCCATTTCACCCTCTTCCCCACTGACGCATTTTCCAGCAACTCAGAATCGACTCCTGCTAGTAAAGTAACTAAATGTGATGTTATCGCTCTAATTAGTAGTGACAAAAGATCAATTAATGTTATAATTAAAAACAGTGTTTAGATCTGTTGTTTGGGTGAACAGATGTGACGATTACTTTGTTCATTGACATAGATGTGTTGAATTTTCTTCCTAGATTTGAAGAGGATGCATTTTAGTGCTGATGTGCACATTTAACTCTGGACAGTAGAAACAAGGCAAGCATGTTAGGGAAAGAATAAGGCCCCTAATGTCTAAGCTACAGCCGTATTTTAACATACTTGACACCTTTCCTTGGTACATGGTGCTATATCAGCAACTTGTATTCACTGAGTCTGGAGCCTCAGGCTTTTAATATTTTATCACGAAACACTTAAGTGTTTATGTTGCAGAAAGAAAAAAGATTTCCATTCAGACTCTCGGACCATATGAACAGGACAGTATATGATAACCATGTCATTAATACTTTTGGTTCCATTTATGACAATGATTTTTAAATTCATGGGGCAGAACAGTAAGTATGTGATTTTTGCAGATCTGATTGGATTTTCTTCTGATACAGAGCAAGCTGTTTTTCATACACTGAAGCCTGGGAAAACTCTGTTATTGTTAAAAGAGTCACCATATCTCTTTTCTGAGTTGTTGCCAAGCAGATGTAGACTTTTGGAATGTACCCAGAAAACTTCTACAGCTGATACTTTGGTGACTTGTTCCTGCTTCTCTGGTTTTACTGGCACCTATTTAAATAGCAAAGAAACATAATTTTATGCTCATAGGTCACAATTTTATACATTTCTTTAGAAGCAAATTAAATATAGCTAAGTTAATTGATACAAATGAAGTAAGCCCAATTTGCTTTTCGAGAATAGCCATGAAGCTATGCCAAGCTTTTAGTTACGTCATTTGGGCAAAAAAAAAAAAAAAAAAAAGAATCAGAAAATACCTCTCGAATATGTGTATTACTTTTTCATGAGAAACTATTTATTCTGTAAGCCTTCACCTAAAGAACAAAAAAAAAAAAAAAAGAATCAGAAAATCTCTCTAAAAAATTCTTGGGAAGAGATTAGCACTTATGTAAAACAAGACAATCCACTACTATTGCTAAAGGAAATCTCACCTTTTAGCATTACCCGTAAATGGATCACGCTCAGTGGATTCACCTGAGGAGCACTTGTTCGATTTGAAATTCTTATATAACAGGTTTCCACCATCAGACAGATGTTTTGGTATTCTTTCCATGATATTAAGGTTGTAAAGGAGCCCCGGTGGTGCACTGGTTAAGAGGTCAGCTGCTAACGTAAAGGTCAGCTGCTAACCTAAAGGTCGGCAGGCAGTTCAAATCCTCTAGGCACTCCTTGGAAACTGTATGGGGCAGTTCTACTCTGTCCTATAGGATCACTATGAGTTGGAATCAACTCGATGGCAATGAAGGTTTACAGGCTGTTAGAAATGAGGAAATATCAGCAATGTCAGGGTTCACTCATGAATCAAGACATGAGCGTTTTCTATAATACCAGCTCAAAACAACAAAGGTTAACGCCATAATCTCAAGTAATGTGATAGTGATTGAAATTCTGTAAGCCACAAAGGTAGTGGGCTTTTGGCATGAACGGTAACTGAAGGAAGCTAGTTGATTCATCAGCTAATTGTGTTGCTGGCTAAAAAGACAAATGTGAGGAGGGAGGGACAAAGAAACTAAAATCTGTTTCTTTTTTAGGAGGAGGTGGACGATGAGGAGTAATACAACACTGTAGATATACATGTTAAAAACTTATAACAAATCATAGGTCATACTAAAGGATTACTGAAGTTTAGAACATGGCTGAGGGTATAGATGTCAGATTTTCGTACACAATACAGGGTCTTTTGTTTCAGAGTTCACTCTTGGCAAGAAACTCTCTAACACCGCTGTTAATTTCCTGTCGATCTTTCATTCAGCAGCAGAACTAGAGATGGGGAGCAGACATTCCCCCTCCTCTTTTTAAGGCTGTGCTTAGTGTAGATTAAAGAGAAGGAAGAAAAAAGAACAAATTTTTCCCAAATGAGATGTCTGTGTGTATTCTTGAAGATCCTGTGTATGTGCTTAAAATGATCCTTACAAGAAAATTAAAAAAAACCCCAAAAAACCCTCTCCATAATTTTGAACTTCTTCCTTTCCTAAACACTTTTATATTCATTTTTTTTCCTTCCCAGCATGTGAACAAATGTGTAGCTCAAATAGATTTTACTTTGCTATTTATTTAGATTGTTTTAAAAGGCTAGCTGTGTGGAGGAATGAGGAAGGAAAGGAAGCAGGAGTGGCTGGGGTTTATTTGTTCTATGTTGACCTAATGAGTTCCTAAAAAAAAAAAAAAAAATATGTGATCTTAATTTTTAATGAGTCTAATAAGCTGGTTGGTATAGAGAAGTATATGAAAAGCCATATATATTAAACTATACACATTGTAAATACATGCATATGTACACTAGAATGTTTTATGAGGGCAGGGACCTTACTGATCTTGTTCGTTGATGTTTTCTAGTATCTGGAACACTGCCTAATACAGACTGGCACTCAATAAACGTTTGTTAAGTGAAATAAATAAAGAAGAGTGTAAATAGGCCGCATCGTATAGTGGGGATGGCATTGTGTTAGAATTCAGACCTGGTGTCTAGTGCTGTCACTGCCGTTAACTAGGTTTGTGAAGTTGCCAAAGTCACTTAACTTCTTTGCTTCTTGGTTTCTTAAAAATTGGTAATGATAGTACTTGACCTGCTTGCCTTAGTGGGTTTTTAAATAACAATTAAATGATGTTCAAGGGATACAAAAGTGTTTTGGAAACTATAGGGTGCTTTAAAAAAGTGTGTGTGTGTGTGTACAGAAAATCCTTTATCTCTTTGCTTCTCAATTTCTCTTCTTAGGAAAATCAGATTATTTAAATCCCATTATGCACAGCTCTCCTCTGTTCTTCCTAAGCCCCTGTATTCCATTACCTCCAGTAAATCAGAAAAAGGTGGTGAGTCAAGCTATAGTCGAAGGCAGGGTTTGCTCTTTTCTCATATCCATTTTATTCAGTGAAACTTTAAAATCTCAAGAGTGCGTATGGCTCAGGAGGTTTCTTACCTGTTTCAGTGATACAATTCCTAACATATGGCTTGAAGTTTCTTACATAGGACTACTTCAGGGTTCTTTGATGACCAGGTTAAACTATTCATTAGTTAATACGGCATATTGATAATCACACATTTAATATAGAATCTCATTAAAACCAGTGTCATGGAATTAGCTATAGTGCTATTTTTTAAAAAGAAGTGTTTATATGTGTGTGTTTTAATAATAATATGCCCAAAGATGCACATCTGGAAGAGAAAGGGATACAAAGTAAAAAGTAAGTGGAATGGTGTCTTAGACTGGGTTCTTTACAGAAGCAAAACCAGTGAAGCGTGTGTATATATATTGTGTGTACGTATATACACGTCTGTCTGTCTATCGAGAGAGACAGATTTATCTCAAGGAAATGGCTCATGCTGTTGTAGAGGCTGGCAAATCCCAAGTCTGTGGGTCAGGCGTTAGGCTGGAGGCTTCTCCTGACTCACGTAGCTGCAGGGGCTGACGAATCCAAGATCCACAGGTCAGACGGCAGGCTGCTAGCTCATGGCTGTGAAGGCCGATGAATCCAAGATTGGCGGGTAAGACAGCAAGCTGCTGGCCGAAGTCCCAAGAACTGGAGGTCAGATGCTGAGGAGCCAAATGTAGAATCCAGAGCAGAGCAAAAGCCAGTGAGCTTTGCCAGGAAGTTCGTATGTATTGGATGCAGATAAAAACCCCCAAGGAAACTCCCTTTCAACTGGTTGGCTACTCACAGCAGATCCCATCCTGGAGGTGATCACATTATATCAGATCGCATCATGGAAATGATTACATCATTATACGACTGCCAGACTATGTCATAACTGCCAAACCCTGAGAATCATGGCCCAGCCAAGTTGACACACAACCTTAATGGTCACAAATTGTATAGACAAAGAGAACATCATCAAAACAGATTTTTTTTAATTTTTATTTTTGAAACGCCTCAAAGCTTTATACCCGTTCATTCTCCACAATTTTTTTTTTTTTGAGTTAGGATTCATTAAGTATTAAGTAACAAAATACGGTGGATCTTGATATTAATGTATTGCCTTAAAGTAGGAAGAAAACGATATAAAAGCTGAAGTAAACTTTAACAGCACTGGAGAAGTTTAGCTTCGGGAGGAATTTAAGAGACCATTTTGTCCAGCGACTCTCATTTGGCTCTCAAGAGAACTGAGGCCCAGAAAGCCCAGGCCAAGGCTAGTTTGGAAGGTCGTGCCACTTGAGGGTCAGGACTACAGCCCAGGTCTTCAGATTTCTAGATTTCTACTATTTCTTCCTGTGACTCAACTGTTTACTTTTCTTAAAAATAAAAAATAAAAAAAAAAAACCCACTCAGAAGAGCTTTTCAAAATATTGTTAGTGTTGACTGCCTTAGCATTATATTTGCTAATGACAATCACCCAGGATTGCTTAAAAGGAAACCTAGCTTTCAGATTAACAGGAAAGTGATCATCTTTGTGCCATCATTGGCTAGGCATATCCATAGATCACACATTTTAAATATGAGAGGCTATAAGTAACCACCCCCCCCTTTTTTTTAATGACAGGGGCTATTGAAAAAAATCACAACCCTCCACACTCACTTGCATCCATGTAACTTAAAATATATGTTGCTTATTGAAAGAGTTGTTCAACTTAGAAGATATGTTACACCATGTAATATGCCTGCATTTGTCCACGCATTCTTTTTGGAAACCTGATCTTATTTATGTCTGCTTTTAACAGATAGCCTAGGTTAAGCTATGTTAAACATGTTGTCCTGAAGCTTGATTCACGGTGTTGCAGCCTGGCCTTCTTCTTTGATTAGCTTTAATCAAACCCTCTGCGTTCCATGACCTTAATAAAGCTATTTTTCCTGACAACTGAAGACTGTCTTAACAAGCATAGCTCATCTGTGCTGAAACTAAGGCTGAGTTAAGATGGGGTTTAGGTCCTCATTAAAGCCCACAGCATGGAGTATATAAGAGGAAATGATGAAATGGTGCTCCCCGAAACATCTCTCCTTTAAATTTAATTAGACAAATTATACGCAAACCAGTAGATGCCCTGGGAAGGCAATCAACATTAGGGCTAATAAAAAGCTTGAGTAGTATAAAAG